GCTATCTTGGGGGCCGCGCGAGGAAGCCCGGCGGCCGCGACCCCCCTGGCTCGCCGGCGCTGGTTTCTGATTATTTGCGATTGTGTTTTCCTCCCCCCAGGCCCCGTCCAAGGACGCCTGGCGGCCGCGCGCCCCTCCCTGGCTCGCTGGCGCTGGTTCCCAATTGTTTGCGATTGTGCTTCGCCTTTCCAGTTCCCGCCCAAAGACGCCCGGCGGCCGCGACCCCCCTCGCTTGTTGGCGCTGGTTTCTGATCATTCGCGACTGTGCTTGCTCCCCCCAGGCCCCGCCTGGCGGCCGCGCGCCCCCCCTGGCTCGCTGGCGGTGGTTCCCGATTATTTGCTGTTGTGTTTCGCGTTTCCAGTGCCCGCCCAAAGACGCCTGGCGGCCGCGACCCCGCTGGCTCGCTGGCGCTGGTTTCTGATTATTTTCAATTGCGCTTGTTCGTGCTGCGACGTACCGTGCCGTGCCGTGCTGCGCCGTGCCGCGCGGCGCCGTGCCGTGCCGTGCCGTGCCGTGCCGTGCCGTGCCGTGCCGTGCCGTTACGCGCGGCGCCGCGCCGCGCCGCGTGCCGGGCCGCGCTGCGCCGTGCCTTGCGAGTGCCGCGCGGCGTCGCGCCGCGCCGTGCCGCGTCGTGCCGTGCCGCGCAGTGCCGTGCGGCGCCGTGCCGTGCTATGCCATCCCGTGCCGCGCCGCGCCGCGCCGTGCCGTGCGGCGCCTTCGTCCGTCGCGCGTCGTTGGTCGTCGGCCGGCCGGCCTCCTCCCTTCTTATTATTGGGTACTATTGCTTAACGGTATCTTTGTCTTATCATTGATGTCTCTCCCTGAATCTTCTACCACTGAGCAGAGAGAACACGAGACCGTAATTCCTTTGTCATCTTACCCCGATTCTCAGAGGAAAGACTTGGGGATGTCAGACGCGGTGGGGGGTGTTGGCGCGAGTTTTTGCAAGGTGGGGGCGCGTCCGCATCTCCAGGAGATCCCCCCACCTTCCCGCCCTCCCCACCACTGTCTTGGAGCCCCCAAGAAAGGTTTCCGGGTCACCCGGAGATGGTGCTGCGGCATCTCCAGTTCGCACGGAAACTTTGCGGGGTTTTCTTGGAGTGTTCATCTTGGGGCTCCTTGAGCGCTCCCAAACCGTCCTGGAGCCCCCCAAGAAAGCTCCAAGAAGGCCCCGAAAGGTCTCCGGGCCACCCAAACATGGTGTTGCAGCACCTCCGGCGGATCCGGACACTTTTCGGGACCCTCTTGGAGGCTTTTCGGGGCACTCTTGGGGCCACAGCAGGCCCCCAAGAGGCCTCCAAAGGGCTCCCCTACGACGCCCTGAGAAGCCCCCAAGAATCTCAACATACCTCAAGAGGCGCCCAAGAGTCACTTTGATCATGCTCCAAAGAACCTGCAGTAGGCCCCAAGGGGCCACCAAAAGGGCTCCCAAGAGGCTCGGCGATCGTCTCAGACATGTACGAATTCGTGCAATGTTCGGATACATGGTGACCCCGGCGCCGCGTCTACTTGCGAAGGTTCTCCGCATGCCCCCACGCCGTTTCACAAGAGTTCCGGTGGCCCCCTGGGTTCCTTTTTGGGGCCGTTCTGGGGGCTATTTGGGCTGCGTTGTGGGCCTCATGGGTCGTCTCGGTGCCATCTTGGGTTGTCTTGGAGCCCTCTTCGGTGGTCTCTTAGGCCGTCTTGAGGCGTTCCTGGCGGCCTCTTAACCCGTTTTGGAGCATTGGAACCCAGAAAAAGCGAGAACGTTTAAATCCGCCAGGAAACCAAAAGAAAAACTATGGTTCTGGCCTCGTGGAGCCCCCGAGGGGGCCCTCTTGGAGCCCCACGGGGGCGTCTGCAGGGTCTCTTTGGCCGTCTTGAAGCCATTGTGAGCGTCTTGGGGCGCTCTGGGGCCGTCTCGGAGCCGTCTTGGAACAGCGCAATCGCATTCGAAGTTCACGCGAAGTCTTTGAGTACCTGTTGGGACCCTCCTGAAGGCCCTCCGAGACTCAAGCCGAGCCCTGCAAGAGGAAACATGTGTACGTACAAACAGCGGATACATGGTGACCCCGCGCGCGGAAGCTAAACAAAAATATCTTAGGGGGCCCTCTTGCGTCTCTCTTGGGCCTTTTTTTTTTTGAGAAGACACGAACTGTAACATAAATGTAACACAAGACACGCTCTCCAATAAGGAGGCGGTTTGTCTTGAAAGGTTTGTTGAATTCATGGCCCTCCTGAGGGCCTCTTCAAACCCGCAGAGGGCTCCCGCAGGGCCCAAGAGGGCCCAGGAGGGCCCCAAGAGGGCCCCAAGATGGCTCCAAGAGGCCAAACATTTTTACCAATTTAACACAAGACGCTCGCCAATAAGGAGGCGGTTTGTGTAAAGTGTGCATTGAATTCTTGGCCCTCTCGGTAGCGTTTGAAGGGCCCTCAGAAGGCCCCCGCAGGGCCCCAAGAGGCCCACGAGGGCCACAAGAGGGCCCCAATATGGCTCCAAGAGGGCCCGAAATTTAGCACAGCGGCACCAGCACCACGGGCAGCCCAGGCCGCACCAGCAGCATCAACGCTAGCAGCAACAGCAACATCTGTAGCAACAACAGCGAGAGAGGCAGCAACGGAAAGATGATTCCACGATGGAACCATCAGGGGCTTTTGAAAGGCTCACGAGATTACCCTTGTCGTCCCAATTTGCCTACCCCTGCTAAGCAATGGCCCCAAAATGACCCCAGAGCAACCCTGCGGCCCCAAGAGAACACACTTCCGACTGAACGAAGGCTACCGCGCGACCTCGATTTTATTCCGAGGTGGCCCCAGAAGTTCGAGACGACTTCGAGATTGCCCCAAGATGACCCTTTTAAACCTTCATCGACCCCAATGTTATGTCAATATGGCTCCAATGTGACTCCGATGCGTTGGCCGATAGGACGGATGGGGGTGCTGGCCCTCATCCTCGTCGCCCTCGTCGTCGTCGTCGTCGTCGTGGTCGCTGTCCGCCTGGCCCCAATGGCCCCATACATAGCAGAAAACCGAATCCCGAACACAAGCCGAATCAATCAATTCTCTGATAATGCCAATCGATACCGAGCAAAGCCAAGCATTGCCAGGCAATGCCAAGCAATGGCGAGCAATGCTGAGCAATGCCAAGCAATGGCGAGCAATGCCAAGCAACGCCAATCAATGGCGAGCAATGGCAAGCAGTGGCAAGCAATAGCAAGCAATGCCAAGCAATGGCAAGCAATGGCAAGCAGTGCAACGCAACAAGCAGAGGCAAGCAATGGCAAACAATGCCAAGCAATGGCAAACACTGCCAAGCAATGCCAAGCACTGCTCCCATGCAAGAGGATTATTTCCCCTAAGTGGGGTCGCGCTTGGATTCTTTTTTTGCGATGGAAGGCTCAGGCATCTTTGAAGGCGTTCTGAACGCCATCATGTCGGGCGCGTCCTTCGGCGCAGAAGCCTACCAACAAGCTGCCCGAGTGCAGCAAACGGGGTACGGACACGTCGTGACGACATACCCCGCTGCAGGAGTACATTCAGAATTTCTTTGTCAACCTACTGAAAGAATTGAGGCGGCTGGGCAACCTCCTGCTAGCGTGGTAAGATTCCGATTCGAATCGGGGAAGAGGGGTTTTAATTTTTACCTGGCCGCGCCCTGACAAGGGAGCGAAGCGGTAGGGAGACCCGCCGTTGCCCGAACAGCGGAACCGAGGTCACCTGACCGTTTGACCAAGTCCAACGGCTTCCCACCACGTGTCCACGACTAAAGGCCACCGTCGCGGCCACGGGGGTTCAGCAACAAGTGGTTCCTTCTGTGCCAGAACCACGGTCGGTTGTTATTGCCCAGCAAACAGTTGAGTCAAATGCAACAACAGCCTGCGGAACAGCAGCAACGAGCTCTTACTGAGCAGCGACAAGTGTTCGAACGATACCAGGAGGCATGCCTCCATGGGCTACGTTCTACCCTTCCTCTTTCAGGTGTGGAGGTCCATCACTTTGAACCTTCCAAAGCTCCCGAACAGGAACGTTTGAGGATGCTGAGGGCTGCCGCCCCTTCCTTCACTGGAGGGGGCGTCTCACTTCTGCCGTCGCCCTTACCCCGAAAGTTGTGCGCCAGTTTTGGGGTCCTGGGCCTTCTCCTACATCTTTTTTAGGTCGTGGGAGGTCCTGGAGGAAAGATCCCGCATGCGAATCTTCGGTTTTCGGATCCGTAGGCGGGGTGTTTGTTTTACCCTTGATTCTTGACGGTGCGTGTTTGGTTTTTGAACTGTATCCCCGTTCTTGTCTCCCCGTGGCTGATCACAGGTTGGTGGCTGGGTTCACGAATCTTTCACAACTCCATTCGCCCAGTTTCTTCTGTTGCCTTTGCTACTACTCAGGGGCGAGGAAGGATGGTGGAGGAACGCTCGGGTACTACAGAAGTTTGCGGCCCGAGCGGCAGGGAAACGATTGCCGCCGCGCGCCTTTCATGTCGTCTCGTCACTGTTATTCTAACGGAGGTACTCCCGTGGGGACCTCGTCGCCACGGCTGGACTTCGGAGCCTGGCTCGGCCGCCTTGGGCCAAGGCCTGTCACCGACGCATCGGCGTGTATCGTCGATTCCAGGTCAATGTTTCCCCCCGTGAGCGGGTCCCCCCAGGGTTCCCCTCCTCTACTGCTTCGCTGCGCCGCCCTCTGTGCCTGGGTCACTTTCCCTTGCGCGCCGCGCTCGCTTTCCGTCGGCCAGGACCGCGGCGGCCCGGGCGAGGGTGCCCCACCAGAAGGTCGAGGGGGCCTTTTCTTCGGAATGGCCGTCTTGGGGATCGGTTGCACGGCCGCGGAGATTTTGCTGGAGGCCCTCAGCAAACCAGATGGCTGACGGGGCGAGGAGATCAGGACGGGCATGAGGGGAAAGGAGTGGATGGGGGAAACGGGAGATACGAGGTGAAGACGGGGCGAGGCTTGAGGGACAGTGCAGTAGAGGATTGGGGGAGGGTGTTGGGCGTTCTCTATGTCCGCTGTTCTGTCCATGGCTGGACAGGACGACGTGGCGATATCAAAGATTGCGATGCGGCTCGCGGACGAGGATGCCCCCGCCGCTCCCGTGTCTACGTACCGCGACAGATCCATGGCGTCTGGTGGAAGCGATTAGGGCGTCAATGTTGAGAATAAGGGCAGAGAGGGCGGTGCATTTTTTCTCTGCATCTCATTGCGTTGCCGTGAAGAGCCTTTGCGCAGGGGAATCACAGACAATAGTCATTCGAGCAGATGGCTTCGACTTGGTTTTTGATTTGTTGGTGTGATGCTTCGTTGGCGCGCGGTGTCTCGCTGTCCGCCTGCGTGCACGTGGGTCAGTGGATCTCGTCCCATCCCCGATCCTTCTTGCCGCCTCTTCTTGCATTGACCCCTGCACATCATGCGGTCCCTTGAGGCCTTCTGGTGGCCCCTAAACTTTACCCCTTAACGGGTCGCTCGAGGGAGCAACGGTCTCGCAGCTCGGGCGTGCAGGCGCCTTCTGGCCTGTTGGCCGCTGCGTCCCTTTCGCTCATTGGGGATGGATGTCAAGGGGGTCGTGTGGAGAATGTGGGCCTTTGTGCAGACGGGGGCAGTAGACCGAGGAGGCAGAAGACAAGGAGGGATGAGGTTGAGGCGAGGGGAGGAAAGCGAAGACAGTTTCGATGATATGAGGGGCGTGGGGAGACGGATGGGGAGCAGTGAGGCAGCAACTCGGTGGAGGGGGCAGGGCCCCCCAGTTTTTTGGGGACCGTGCGCGGGGATGGGGGGGGAGCACGTGGAGGAGGAGGCGGAGGAGGAGGAGGAGGCGGAGGAGGAGGAGGAGGAGGAGGAGGAGGAGAAGAGGAAGAGAAGCTCGGGCCCGAGACCGCGCACGTCCACAGGGGGCATGGGCCGTTCGGTCCGAGCTCAGCGGGGTCGCACGGCCAGGGGGGCAGGAACGGCGCTCGTCTGCCAGGCATCGCCGAGCGAGGCGGCAAAGAGGCTTGGCCAGAACCATCCTGAGGATCCTCACTTCGCATAATATATAGAGGCACGCCACTCCTCGATGGCGAAAGCGATGGCAGATGGATGGACGTGCGTGGTGTGCTGTTGGTTGAATGCCAAAGATGGCTGGACATGCCGGAAAAAAAGGAGGTGCACGAGAATGCGGAGGACGCAACACGTTCTACGTACGTATCGATGATGAATGAACGAAGGCGAAGAGCCATGAGAGGAATTAACGAATGAAGCCGCGCGTCCGTAAGCACATGGGCAATGGCACGCGGGTGCGCTAGACAGTGTAGTTGCGCACCGTTGCTTTCCAGGCTTCCGCTAGGAGCGTGCCCAAATCTTAGAAGTTCCAACCCGAAGTGTGGCACATCTACTTAGCATGCTTCGACAATTATGTTGCCCACGCCTGGTGGGGCCTGCCCCATTTCTGGCGGCCAGGCGCCTGCGACAGCTCAGAGGATGAAGGTTGGACAGCAACCATGCGGACAGGATGGGCGTCGGCCTTGCGTGCGATGATAATGCCACCATGAAGGGGAAACGGGGTGATTTCAAGCATCATGCTGGATTCGATGGCTTTCACGTTTGCCTGCGCGCTGTCCCGTGAGACCAACCAACTAAAGGCGAACCTGATGAAGGAGGGCATCATCGCGGGCATCTACGCGTACATTCCGACCGCCACGTGGTTCGCCGAGGGTTGCGACGAAGGATGGCGGAATATGACATCAAAACGTACTTAACTCCACCCATGGGGAGTGCCAAGCATGGGTCAACAAGAATACGACATCATCTCGGTAATAAACGACGACCTCAGAGACATCATCGAGATCTCCCGCATATCGCAGAACCTCCAGATCCCCGTGATCGTCGCCCATCCAGAAGCAGAACCCAAAAACCCACATGGCATTACAGCTTGGCAGACGCCCCAGTTGCAGCACCTGGAACGCCACCCCACATCCAGTAGTACCATAGCCATCAGCCCCAACGGCATACGAACCTGGATCCTGGCGACGAACCATGGACTGGATTGTCGAGGTGAAAATCATGATATGGCCCCATTCATCTCGCATTACATGGACAGGATAATGATCGCTCGGTGGAGGACGGCCGCAACACCTACGGGGACAGCATCCACGGATACTACGGACAGCAACAACATCATCGCGCACATCAGCACTCACCTGATCTGCGTCACGGGCAGCAACACTACCATCACGGACAACAGAAACAACACCATCATGGACAACAACACCATCATGGACACCTACATCATCACCGGCACGGACAACCACACCATCACGAACGGCAGCCACGCCATCATGGACAGCAACCACACCATCACGAATAACAACGCCACCATCGGGGACCCCCCCTCCAGGCGGAGGGGGACGGCGACCTCACCGTCAAGTGAGAGAGCCCCGTAGAAGCAGGCTCCCCGCCAGGAGCCAGGACCCAGGATTCCCCCCCCCCTTCGCCATGAGGTTTCCTCTCCCTCCTTTCCTGTCCTGGCCAGGGCGTGAGCAGCGCTGCTGCCCCGTTTATACACCCCCGCCCCAGTAGAGAGACTTCGGCGGCGCGGCCGCTGGCACCATCGGGGCGGGGATGTCTGCGCAAGTCGTCGCCCAGGATTCCAGGGTCCTGGCCCTCCTGCTTCCCTTGGCCAGGCAGCCTTCCTCCTTCTTTCCTTGGGGGTCAGGCCGCTGCCCTCGCCCTGGTTCCCGCCTCCCGCCTCTCCCCCTCTTTCGGGCGCCCTGGAGGCATCCTTCCTCTTCCCCCCGCATCCTTCCTTTTTTTTTTTTTTTTTTTGTTTTTTTGTTTTTGCCTTTGGGCTCTTGGGCCCAGGGCTGTCGGGCCCTGTGCGTCCCCTTGCCCATGTCGGGCCTTCGGCCCGTTTCGCCTCGGCCTCTAGAGGCCCCCTTGGAGGAATCTACGCGCGGTCGCGGCGGGCCCGCCGCGCGCCGCCGCAGCGGCAATGTCCGCCCCGGCCACGGTCTCGCGGAGACGGTTGGGTTGCGCTCGAAAGGCTCGAAAGGAGGAGGAATAATAATAGGAATGGCGATATAATCGATGCGCGAATGAGTAGGAATAGCATTACTGTGGAAATTCTGGGAAGAGGACTACTAGCAATACTAACGCGCTGGCTATTAATGATAATATTATTTGTATTAGTAAGAACAATGTCAGGCTCAATCGGTGATTGGTAATCATAAGCATCGTACCGCTAGTATCATATAACCCACTATTCTGATTCAGCGAATCCGAATGATGATGCTACGAATGCGAATAATAACGAGCATTATTAGTAAGATTAGTGGTCGTAATCGTAGCACTGATCAATAACGATGTCCATAGTACCGCTGCTACTGCTACCACTACTACTACTACGACGACGACTATTACTATTACTCTACTAATACTATTACCACGTCATACAATAATGCGAACACAACCACAAGTACGAATGCGAACATTCCAAATATAAGTAATAATCCGACTGATCATAATATTATTGATACGACTACTATTAGTAATGCGTTTCAGTTTTAGTATTCGCTAAATTCTCTGAATCGTCGTATTTGTGGGAGTAGTAGTGATAGTAGTAGTAGTTGTTGTAGTAGTAGTAGTAGTAGTTGTAGTAGTAGTAGTAGTAGTAGTAGTAGTAGTAGTAGTAGTAGTAGTAGTAGTCGTAGTAGTCGTAGTAGTCGTCGTAGTAGTAGTAGTAGTAGTAGTAGTAGTAGTAGTAGTAGTAGTCGTAGTCGTAGTCGTAGTCGTAGTCGTAGTCGTAGTCGTAGTCGTAGTCGTAGTCGTAGTCGTAGTCGTAGTAGTAGTAGTAGTAGTAGTAGTAGTAGTAGTAGTAGTAGTAGTAGTAGTAGTAGTAGTAGTAGTAGTAGTAGTAGTAGTAGTAGTAGTAGTAGTAGTAGTAGTAGTAGTAGTAGTAGTAGTAGTAGTAGTAGTAGTAGTAGTGGTAGTAGTAGTTAGTAGTAGTAGTAGTAAGTAGTAGTCGTAGTAGTGGTAGTAGTCGTAGTAGTAGTAGTAGTAGTAGTAGTAGTAGTAGTAGAGTAGTAGTAGTAGTAGTCGTAGTAGTAGTCGTAGTAGTAGTAGTAGTAGTAGTAGTAGTTAGTAGTAGTAGTAGTAGTAGTAGTAGTAGTAGTAGTAGTAGTAGTAGTAGTAGTAGTAGTAGTAGTAGTAGTAGTAGTAGTAGTAGTAGTAGTAGTAGTAGTAGTAGTAGTAGTAGTAGTAGTAGTAGTAGTAGTAGTAGTAGTAGTAGTAGTAGTAGTAGTAGTAGTAGTAGTAGTAGTAGTAGTAGTAGTAGTAGTAGTAGTAGTAGTAGTAGTAGTAGTAGTAGTAGTAGTAGTAGTAGTAGTAGTAGTAATAGGAGTAGTAGTGGTAGTAATAGTCGTAGTAGTAGTAGTCGTAGTAGTAGTAGTAGAAGAAGTAGTACAAGTAAGAGTACGAGTAATACTAAATGGTTTTTGTTATCACTGATATAGTAATATGATGAATCTTAAGACGAATCATAATCATATAAAGACCAAGGTCAGTAATACACACTAGACCAATACAACAATCAGACTAATACTAGTCATAAGAATAACAATCATAATCGATATGCAACGAATAATGATATTCATACAATGAGGAGGTGGGGGAGGAGGAGGAGGAGGAGGAATAATAACATGAGAACAACAATGGGGGCCTCATGAGGCCCTCTTGCGGCTTCCGGGGGCTCCCTGAAAGCCTTTTGGGGGCTTCAGAACGGCCCTCATAGGAGGCCTGTGGGAGCCTCCAAGGAACCCCATTTGGCCTTCGGAGGCCGTCTTGGGCCCCTCTTTGGGCAGTCGTGGGTTCTTCTTTGGGCGCTTGAGGGCCGTCTTGGGGGTCTATGGGGCCGTCATGGGATTGTCTTGGGGCAGTCTTGGGGACCATCTTGTGGGCCCCATCGGGCTATCTTCGGGCCCGGAGCCCTCTTGAACCGTCCTGCGGGCCTTTTGGAGGCCTCTGGGGCCGTCTTTTGGGCGATCCCGAAGGTCAATGGGGCCGTTTAGGAGCGGCGAAAACTAGAAACACGAGAACACTAAAACCATT